AGGGCATATAAGAGTGCCGCCTTTTTTCGAGATTGTCTCACTTACACTTGACTTCTTGATTCCGGTTTCTTTTATTAGTCTGAATAGCTGCCTGATGTTGCCTACAGCCGCTGTCTTTTCCATCTCTTTTGCTTTCGTTGCCCACCACTGCTCACGATCGTTCCTTAGACTCTTAGTTAACCTAAATCTAATTTGTTTGCGCTCTTCGTCGCTTTCAGAGCCTGATGGGATGAGTTTACGCGAATCCATCAGTGAAATAGACTTAGAAGAAATCCACTGGTTTTTTGGAGCCCTGTGGTTTAAATGATTAATAGATGTTACTGCTGTTTCCACAGCTGTTCGTATGTCTTTCCAAGCAGCATCTGTGTCAGTCTCGTTTACAGAACTGCCTAGATGTGAACCCAGTTGTTTCTGGAATTCGCATTTAGCTTTCCTTTCCTGTAGTTCAGTCCTGATGGGTCTTCTTAGTGTACTTTTCCTGCGTCCATTGAGGCGCAGACAAATGCGCGCTCGTATTAAAGCGTGAACAGAGTCTAAACAAGTATTCCAATACGAGCGACAATCTTCTATTGAGCCTCTCCATCGATGACTGATGACAATATGGTCTATTTGAGTCCATAGTTGGTTTGGTGCAGGTGGTCACCATGTTAGACGATGTCTCTCCTTATGCTTAAAATTAGTGCTTGTTAATAATAAACGATTGTCTGGGCATAGATGCAAAAGACGATCACCATTATCGGTTCGTTGAGCCGGAATACTAAAATACTCACCTAAACATCTTTCTGTTTGTTTTAAACTGCCTACTTGGGTATTAACGTCACCTGCTACGAGTACTGTGTCTGAGCGCTTAGCTTTCTGAAGAAGCTCAGAGAGTTTTCTGTAAAAGCCATCTTTCATTTTGTCAGGGCTGCAGTCAGTGGGAGCGTAGGCAGAAACAATGAAAAGTCAAAGAGATGTGTCCCTATCCTTCCGAGTTCTTACGGAGCCATTTAGCTGGACAGCGCACAGGCGATTGTTAACGGGGATCCATTCTAATAGTGCCTGTTCTGCCCTTGTACTTAGTGCTATACCTACACCTGCAAGTCCACGAGAACTAGCCAACGGGTCGCCAGATACACGGAGGGTGTATTTCGTTGGCTGTCCATTTTGGCGAGGTGAGGTCAAGTGAATGACCACACTAGGATCCTGTATGCGTGTTTCGGAGACACAGCATACATCAATGGTACGGGATTCTAGGGTTTTAGCTAAGGAGGCCTGTTGACCGACTTAACTTAGGGTATGTACGTTGAAGGCTCCAATGTGTAGTTTGGAGCGAGGTTTTAGTAGACCTGGGACAGTGTTTCGCGCACTAGAATCGTTGGCCATGGTGACACTTGAGGAGGAAACCGAAAGAGGAAGTTTGGTGTTGAAAGTCAAGATAGAAGGAATAGTAGGAATTGAAGGAGATTGATAATGAATACAGTGGTCTTGAATGCTGTTAGAGGTATGAGGGCAGTTATCACTTCCCAGTTGCCCACACCGTGGAAGGGTTCTTCTAGAGGTACCTGAAAAGGAAATTGGGTTAGAAGTGGTCTTAATGACCTGAGAGCGTGACCGCAGTGCCCAAGGGACAACTGCTTGAGGTCGGTCACACACGACCTTTTTGTGGGTAGTTTTTGTGTTAGCTCCGTTCTTCAAAGGACCTCACCGCCGGAGACGGAAATCCGTGGGATAAGGCGAGGTGTGCATTTTTAGGGTCGACCTTTTCTAACCCCACACCTCCTTGTGGGAAGGTAGCGTCGCTGTCATGCTGGTTGTCTGAAGGAAACACCTTACTGCTGTCACACCTCTGTACAGTCGCAGTACGAATTCGCCTTCGAACCTTGGGTTTGCTGCTTTTAGTCTTACCGCTCTTCAACCGACCTGTCTGGCATCGTAGGACCTCGGGGAACGATTGTTCCAGCCAGTATAGCTCGATTGGTTCATCACGATAGGCAAGCCCGACCACCACGTCAAGGTAGCAGCAACGGTCGGGAGTTTTGACTAAAATTAGAAAAAAACTGCAAAGAGTTATGACCAAAGTACTAACAGGCAATATGAACATATGTTCAAAGGGAATAAGAGAAGACAGGCTTCAGTTCCAGACCAAGCTTATCGATAAATTCGTCTATAATCCGAAGAGCTTATGCAGTTACGCAGCTTCTCTTTGACAAGGCAAAATTGGAGTTTCCCAACTGCTTGGTCCCAATGGCCCGACCAATAACGACGGTGATGTCGCCAACCTTTTGGCTGAACAATACTCCCAGACATTCCAGCTGACCACATCAACTATACTGACGAAAGCTTCACCTGCACCTGTACAGGACTTTCTGAAGTGGATCTGAGTGCTGACGTGGTGCTCCGTAAACTGCAGCACTTAAGAAAAGACACTTCTCCTGGTCCGTATATGGTTCATTCCGCTGTTTTGAGGGAAGCAGCTTCAATCCTGGCGACACCACTTAGCGTGATGTTTGCACACTCGCTAAGCAGAGGCAAACTACCGTAAATTTGGAAACTGACCCGCATTAAACCAATTTTCAAAGGAGGTCGACGGTTTACTAGAATACTTATCATCCTCAAAGTTCTTCTCACCTCAACAGCATGGTTCCAGGAAGGGTCACTCTTGTATGACCAACCTGCTGATTGAGGTGGAAGATGGACAAGCATCCTAGATCGCAAGGAGAAGTTTGACACCATTTACCTCTAATTCTCAACAGCTTTTGATAGGGTCAACCATATATGTCTTATCAGTTAGCTCAGACGATTGAGTATCAAACCACCTCTAATTGACCGGCTCACTTCATATATAAGAAATCGACGTTTTGAAGTCAGGGTTAACTTCGCATTCTCTCAGTCTGTGGAATGTCCTAATGGGGTCCCCCAAGGTTCAGTACTAAGACCTCTTCTTTTATTGATTTATCGATCTTTCACAACAGGTATCGTCAGAATTATTACTTTTTGCTGATGACGTGGAACTCTGAAGAGAGATACGCAATCAATGGGACATACTTACACTTCAGGAGGATGTGACTCCACTTCAAAGTTGGGCAGACTACATTGGACTTAACCTTAATACCTCAACGCGTAAAGTAGTCCATCTGGGACATGTTGCAGCCTAGGCAATTTCTCTCCAGAAGTATTCTAAATTGTAAAAGATTTAGGAGTGCTGGTACCCTACGATTTGAAGTCTCACGCTAAATGCTACTAAAATGACTTTCCAGCAAACCTTGCACTGGTAACATTGAGGCGTATTTTAGGCCACTTCGACGGAAGAAATTTCCACACAGTCTCTAACAGTTTTATTCATCCCCATTTAGAGTACGGGAACATAGTACTTTCTCCCTCACTTCAAAAGGATAATGGCACTCTGGAATGCATTCAGTTCGGGGACCCTAATTCATGCCTTATGAAGAGCGCCTCCAACCACTAAATCTGTCCCCATTAAAGTACTGGCGTTTTAGAAATGACCTTCTAATGGCCTCCAGTATCCTTGACACTTCCGGACATCCCCTTAACACAACTACTTAAGCATAGTTCCAATACAAACCTATGGCGTAACACCCAGAAACTGGAGATACCACACAGCAGAACGGACTTAACCTTAATACTTCAACGCGTAAAGTAGTCCATCTGAGACATGTACGTACGTAATCATAGTGATATACTAGTTCTTCAGGAGGATCTGACCCGACTTCAAAGTTGGGCAGACGACAACGGACTTACCTTCAACACTTCAAAGTGCAAGGTAGTCCATCTGAGACATGTTGCAGACTATAGTTATAACTTAGGTAACTCCTCTCTGGAAGTTTCCCAAGTCGATAAAGATTTAGGTGTGTTGGTACCCTATGACCTGAAATCGTATGCGAACTGTGACAAATCGACTCTCAAGCAAACCTTGCACTGGTAACATTGAAGCGCATTTTTGGCCAGTTTGACGGTGAAACCTTCCACATAATCTTCAACAGTTTTATTCGTCCCCATTTAGAGTACGGAACCATAGTATTTCCTCCCTCCCTCCATAAGGATAAGGACACTCTAGAACGTATACAACGTCGAGCCACGAAATCAGTTCGGGGACTCAAATTCAAACCTTATGAAGAGCGCCTCAAATCACTTAACCTTTACCCACTAGAGTACAGGCGTCTTAGAGGTGATCTTCTTATGACTTACAGTATCCTTAATACTTCTGGTCATCTTCTTAAGCTTAGTCATAACACTAACCTCAGAGGTAACACCCAGTAATTGGAGACCCTACATAGCAGAACAGACTGCAGACACAACTTCTACTCCGTTAGAGTTATCAAGTGCTGGAATTCGCTGCCGACTGAGCTAGTCCAAGCGACCTCCCAGGAGTCCTTTAAGAGGAAACTTGACTTATTCTTAAGGACTAAGGACAACATATTATTATGATTTACCAAATTCTTTTTTTCCCTCTATTATCGTTCATATACACAAGTTTTTGCCTGGAGGTATTGGTGATCCACTGCTATTAGACACGGAAGCCCGTTAAGCGAAAGCTTCTTCTATTCTGTCCTCAACCATTTGAACCATTTAGACACAATAGAAAAACAAGGTACTCTAGAGTACTGACTATAAACTATTTAGGATACCAAAAATGATACTTTAGTCGAATACTTTAACTGAAAGAAATTCAATCAAAGTATAAACAGTAGTCTTGTTACGTTAATAACGATCAAAACAATAGAATTTACTCAACGAGGAAAAATACCACTGTCCTTTTTAAATAGCGCGCGTAAACATTCCGACCTACGTTTTCAAATATCGATGGCTGATATCAAGGTGGCGTAGTTGTTAAAGTAACAATTGATAGAAATACGGCTTCATACGCGTTTCCGACTAGCAGATCAATAGAAGACCCATCTTAATAAAATATACATAAAGCTGAGGGGGATACTAGTCTGGTGTCAAGGATTCTGGCGGGTTCTGTTACTACTGCGCTACCTAAGTTCGCTTTGTACGTAATGTACATAAAGAAAGTCATTATACAAGGTTTTCGCAGTTATAGAGATCAAACATGCCCAGAAGAGTTCAGCCCGCATCATAACATAATAGGTACGATCTGTTTGCCATCGATAATACCAACAGTTGGGCGCAATGGTTCTGGAAAATCGAATTTCTTCCAGGCTATACAATTTGTTCTTTCAGATGAATACAGTCACCTAAGTAACCAGGAAAGACAAAACCTTCTTCATGAAGGCACAGGTCCACGTGTTATTTCGGCTTACGTGGAAATGATATTTGACAATTCTGATAATCGGATTCCTGTAAGGACTTATCCTAGCAACGTTATGTTTAGTTCGATAAAAATGAAGTCTCTTTACGGAGGATAATCGGTAGCAAAAAAGATCAGTATTTTCTCGACAAGAAAATGGTCACGTAGGTTTGATGCCTTTTTTTATATTTTTCCTAATTGTAGAAAAGCTGATGTTATGAATATGTTGGAAAGCGCTGGATTTTCTCGTAGCAACCCATACTACATCGTTAAACAGGGAAAGGTCAGTTGTTTTTTTCACATCTCGATCGTTTAAAACGGGTTTCTAGCTTTTATATTTGCTTCGTAAAGTGCTTAAACATATTGAACTATCCTGTTCTAAACACACTTAGAAAACGGCTACAATTCGTAGTTTTGTGTGTTATTATGTATCAGTTCAACTTGCTGTCCGTGTGGACTGCTACGAAATGAATCGAATCATACATATTTACCGGCCTTTCTAACCTGAGTCTTTGGCTTATAACTAACACGACCTGTTCGACTAACGTGTAGTCAAAATAGTCTATAAAATACTAGTAGCCACAGCCTTAGCTTTCTACTAAATCCTTTACTTAATTCTTACTTTGGCTTTAGATACCCCTGTAGATTAAATCAACGGATGTCAGTCTAGATATCTGTACTCCAAATGATAATCAATCGACCACGTACACAAAAACTGATCAAGTACATCATGTTGGGAGCACTTTAAAATTGATTTAATTTTCTCTGATTTTGGAGGCTAGCGTATACTAGTGCTAACACATCAAATTTGAAATTCGACATAAAACTATGAGCGTCATCGTATTTTGGTTCCGACTTCAGTATGAATATATGATTCGTATGTTTACCTCCTTAGTAATCCTGTCTTTCTAAGATTTAATATTATGACTAACTTTTTAAGACTAGTTTGGTCTCTAAGTGATATGTGGATGTCATTTAAATTGCTTACCCCTTAAACATTCTATCTCACGACAGGTAATAAAATTAAACAAGGGTAGATACACACCATATCTAATTTTTAAGACAATCAAATTAAGTCACATTTTGTTAATATGGTACCTTAGATTTCTCACTGGAGATTGTTTTTTGCCATAAACTTAAAGTGGTTAATTGATTTTTTGGAGAAATAGGGTTGATATATCGGAAGTTCATTATTAAACTGCCGATCGTAGAAAATAAAATGTATTAGCAGGTCAATTTTATATAACCGCGTAGTTATATTCTCTTGTGTAATGGCAATTTTTAAGGTTGCCTGTAGTTCACGTCTTAATTACTTTTCATTTCTGTTGACTCTATAATGTTGTTACATACAGCATCTTAAATTTATGAATTTTTATGAGAGCCATGATAAGTTTTGAGTGTCCGCAAAACGTTTCTATCAGTGAATATCAATACCAAAGTTTGACTTGACAGTTTGGAATAAAGCTAACATTGGGTAGAGAGTTAATAATAAATATATATCTGTTATATCCCAATGAGTAAAAAAATTGTATTCCTGACGTTTCGTGACTTAATGTAAGCCACTTCTTAAAAGCAAATAAATAACTGAAATAAACTACAACAAGTTTGAACTTATTCATTATTTATTTATTTCAACACATAAATATTGGTACAAGTGGGCACTAGATAAATATGCAAGACACAAAACAATAAGAATAGGAAGAGAAAAAGAAGGTAAGGTGAGTATAAGAAAAAACAACAATAACAATCATAGATTAGTGTATGTTAGTGTACCACATAAAAATGTGGTTTAAGTTTTAACAGTACAAAGGAAACAATGCAGATAATTTTTAGCACAATCAAAATCATATTAGGTCTGAATATATCAGTATTAATTTATTCTTGGTCAAAGTGAATCTATATGATGGGTAATATATACTAAGAGTACTGAATATAAATCTCTGAACAGTTAAAATAAAAATGTAAACAAGACTTAGCTATGTACTAAAGGAAACATTTCTCTATCCTATGTAGTTAAAGACAGTTAAACTCTTTGACATAAGTGTTCGACTTTTTACTTCATACTAATTCGTTTATGCTTTATTTATCTTCCTTCTAATGGTACTTTACTTTTTCCGTTGATGTCAACAAGATCCATGTAGTTCCTGTGCCAGTTTAAACGCAACAGATAATACTTTTGTTTCGTAACGCACTCTTGAATCAATTTATCGTGCAATCTTTCCTAGCCTGCCATAGACATATATTTTACATATAACTATATATACGAATTTACAACTTAAGTAAATGATTTCGTCGAGGGGAAAAGTTTCTTCGCTGAATTCTCCTTTTCTTATTCAATTGCACTATAAGTTATTTTAATTATCTGAAGATTGCAAACATTTAAACTCATTAGTATTAAAACCTCAAGTTCTATTTTTCAGATTTTGACGTAAGTTTTGTGTTTGGTTGCATATTTATTTTTCAGATTACTCAGTTGGCTACTGCGCCTGATCACCAGAGACTGAAATTGTTGAGAGAGGTTGCGGGAACCAGAGTCTATGATGAACGTAAAGAGGAAAGCAAACAAATATTTAAAGAGTCAGGTAGACGTAGAAGTTAAGCTCTTTTATTGTTTGATTTCGAAGATCTTTCAATGAAATCAGTAATTTTTGCTTGTTTTGATAAGCCATATGTTAATCACTTCGTGATTCTGACAACAAGTCAAATATTTGATTAATTCAACGTAAAGTTTGGTCACCTGCACTTTCAAGTGCCATTGTAATTTTGAACCAACATTCGTTTTATTTCTTTCATACTACTTCATTTATGTATTTCCCTTTATTCTCATTTTGCGTATTTTATTTTTGGACTTATACAGCAGCTCGCCTATGGTAGAAACCCTGTCACATCTAAACTATCTCAAGCCACCTACCCAGTGCTTATAATCGGGACGTTTCGCGAAGCCGCAATCGACTTTACTCGCTATTTTCATGGCTTCATTCAATTGCAACCAATGGTGACATATACTTTCCGGTGGAATGGTAGCTAGCCTTAACCCAGCTCAGTTTAATACTTAGTTGCAACAGAAGCTGCGACCGATTTACTGACATCGGTCCGTTTAGGAATAAGAATTTGTCGGCCACTTAAACGTAAGGTAAAATTAGCGCAAACAAGGTAGTGATCAGAGTCCAGACAGGTATTCTAAAAGGTGCGGAAGTCTTGTATACAACCACGTCAGTGGTAGCTGACCACGATGTGATCAATCGTATGTCAAGTTTCAGATGCAGAGGTAGGGCGCCAGGTAGCACACTGGTGATGACTTTGCCGGTAGTTAGTGCTAGTCAGAAACAGGTGTAGTTTGCGCACAGTTGCAGTAGACGGTCCCCGTTATCTGACCTGTGACCAACAAGTCCCCTTTGGCCACCTAAACGACTCTTCTGTGCCTAGATGCCCGTTCTGAGCATTTAAGTCTCCAGCTAGTACTACAATATCTGTCAAACGCATTTTTATTAGGAGAACAGTTAACTGATGGTAAAACTCATTCTTAGTCGCATTCGGGCTGCAATCTGACAGATCGTAGGCAGAGATGACGAAAAGACACCTTTTTCACACTGATTTGTTCCCATCTTGGTGGACCTTTCAACCTAACAGCAAATAACCGATTGTTAACGGGGATCCAACCAATTATTGCTGCTTCAGCTCTAGCGTTTAGTTTGACATCGACGCCAGCAAAACCAAACAAAGATGTCACATGGTCCCCAGATAAACACACGTTAAACAAGCTTTTCGAAGCAACAGAAGTAGATGGAATTTGTAGTACTTCACTAGAGTCTTTAATGCGGGTCTCGGATAGACAACAGACGTCGATATTAAGACTTCCTAAAGACATAGCCAATCCTATCTGTTGTCCGATCTGCATTAGTGTGCGAACGTGGAGGAAGCCAATTTGAATGGTATATCTGGTTTCAGAAAGACTTTCAGTATTCTTATTTGGTGGTAGCATTCAACTTTCGACTAGTCAGTGACTTGAGATCGTTTAGATATGACAGTGTTTCTACCATAGGCGAGCTGCTGTATAAGTTGAAAAATAAGAATACACAAAGTGAAAATAAAAGGGAATACATAAATGACGTAGTATGATAGAAATAAAAGCGAACGTTATCAAATGATTGTGAGTGGGATTTGTCTGCATGCAAGTTGAAGCAAGAATAATTTTTCCAGTAGTAATCATTATTTGGTTTGTGTGAGGGCTGTCATACTGCCCGGGTACCCAAACTGAAGCAGGTCGTTTTCTTAGGGGGCCACATCCGGAGCCTTTGACCTTAAGGTCTAATCCACAAGGCAGTGGAGCAATGTTAGAAGATTCAGTGAGTCCGAAAACTGCCATTTTTTTATTCAAATGTATTAGTGTACAACTAACCGTATCACTATCATGGGATTACAGCGTTATTCATAGATTAACATAATCTTCAGTTATATTGTTTTTTCACTAATAGAAAGGACTAAATTAGGTCAGCTTCGAAAAAACACAACTTCAATCAATATTTATTCATTATAAGGAATTAATTTCAAACACATTCTCTTGCTTAGTTTTATATCTTATCTTTTTATTAACTATTTCGTATCAAAATTAATTACCAGTAAAGTACAAATCATTTTCTTATGATAGAAGCCAAACGAGAACAGATATCCGAACTCCTAAATAGCATCGAAGATCGATTACGAACCCTTGAAAATGAAACAAAAGAATTAAAAGAATATCAACATTGGGATAGGGACAGACGTGCGTTAGAATTTACCATATACGATAGAGAGTTAAAAGAAACTCGAAAAAAATTGGAAGAAATACAAACTCGTCGGGAACAAAGCAGTGAAAGTACAGCTGAAATTCGGCGAGCTGCTAAAGACTGTGCAGATGCTATAGAGGTAGATGGCGCTTTATATTCCGTTTTTAATATAAACTAATGTTATTTATTTTAATTTATTCTCTAGATAAGCATGCACTAACCGATTTGTAGTTAACCAGTCAAACTTTTATTTTAAAGTGTTTAGAATAGGGTACTCTTACTTACCTGATGCTTCTAGTCATCGGGCAACAATCAAAGCATGAAATAATATGTATTCATGTATTGATCGACTAAAAATCGAAAAATTAGTCTTAGTGTTTGTTTCAAATTATTTACATGCATCGATAGGTTCTTCACTAAGTAGATTGTCTCAGACTATACATTAAATTCTAATGAGGAAATGGGATTATTTCAGTGTGATTATGAATATAACGAAATAATTGGGGTATGTGCTAGATTCCATGTGTTATAAAACCTGTTTCTGCACCATACTCAGTCGGGTTAAAATCTCCCAGTAGGCATATTTAGAATATCTATGGACATTAATTCTGAACCGAAAGAAAGAAAAATATATCAGAGGTGAGTTTCTGGTAAGGAATTCATTTTCAGTCTTACATTGTGGACTGAGTTTACCTAGATAAATGTTGAAAAGCATGGATAATCGTATATTTGTTTTGTTTTATTATGGTTGGGCATTGCTGTGGAGTCGTACACTAAAACGAAACAACCGTTAACTGCTCCATAGTTTTCAATGATTATCCAAATGAAGTTAGTTTGTAGTATAAAGTAGAGATCTAATTATCCCCAAGAACCTTTGTTAAGGAATTAATCATTGAGTAGAAGTAATTAATTATCCCTAGGTTTGCTTCTAAAGACACACTTATTCACAATCTATATTCTGTATTTGTTTATACCTAGTACTCGTTTTGTTTTCTCTGGAATACATCTATGTTTTAATGTCACCTAATATTTTTTGAGATTGTAATAACTTAAGCTGGTGAGTTTTTCACTGCATACTCTTTGTTTTACAATGCAAGCGCTTAAATGTGATCTGTCCATTTGAAAGTCTACTTAAGACTAAGAAACTAGATGCTACTCATTTCACTTCCGCAAATTTATTAATATATTCTTGTGGTTAGCATTTCCATTTTCATTACTCGTTTTGTATGTTGTTAAGATGATATGCTGTACATCATTAGTGCTATTACTGAATAACATTTAATATGTAACATTTCATTACATGAATGCTACTTTATTTATCTTCACATATGATATGTGGTTAGTCGATGTATGTTTTCCAGTTTATCGACCTATAGCTTAGTGGTTTGAGCGCTTGTTTTCAGACTTCTATGTTGCAGGCTTAAACTCCACTCTTCCTACTTCGGTCAAGACATTTAAGTAGTATCTGTAATCCCAACTCAATAGTTGTGGTTCAAAACCTAGAGGTCAAAATTGGATGTAATTACTGTGTTGTGTTATAATTGTTATTACCATATATTCATAATAATCGAATATGCTGATTCTATTTATTTCTTTTTAGAAACTAGAAAGGGATCTGAGAGACAACAGATTAAAAGAAGCTCAGATGCAAGATGAAGTCGAGCAAGTCCAAGCATCTGTAAGTGATGTTCTTCAACGTCGTGAGCAACTTCAACTTACTATAGCTGATTATTCAGCAACTCTTCGAGGTGGTAAATCTGCGCGTGAGCGAGCATCTGAAGAATTAAGTCGTGTTAGAGAACAAATAAACCAAGTTGAACGTCGGCTAGCTGAATTGAGACCTCAGTATAAAAAGGCTAAACAGTTTGAAGATGAATTAGCGAATGCACTTAGTGATGCTGAACATCGTAGGTGAGTAAACATAAATAACATGAACACAAATAACATTCGTACGTGAATAATATGAATTCATCTTAATTTCATGAATTCTTTTCAGAGATGTTTACAACCATGACATAATAATATCAATCATGAAAACTAAATACCAAGGTTGGACTTGAAAGTTTCAAATAAATTGAGCAATAGATAGAGAATTAATTATAAATACACTTTTTGTTATGTCCCAATGAGTAGAAAAATAGTATTTCTGACGTTTCGTGACTTAATGTAAGCCACTTTTTCGGTTGTTCATTTACTTTGAAGAAGTGACTTACATCAAGTCACGAAACGTCAGAAATACAACTTTTCTACTCATTGAAGTATAACAAACATATTTTTATTATACATATTTTATATCGTATTTAGAAAAAATGTTGCAAAGAAAATCCAATAAGGTTTCACTTTTATTTGTCGTATTCTTTTCCTATTCAATATACCAGAAGGGGTTTGGTGGAGATTTTAGTAATTTTATAGAGTTGAGATCATGAGTCAATTAAAGCTAGACCACCATCAAAAACCTGGAAGCACTGAATGGTTGCTCAATTTCGTGGATCGGTTGAAGTTAGACATTAACACCGTTGGATACCGGCTCAGTGGTCTATCGGTTAAGTGCTCTGGCGCGAGACTGGTAGGTCCTGGGTTCGAATCTCGCGAGGCGGGATCGGGGATGCGCACTGCTAAGGAGTTCCATAATAGGACGAGACGTCTGTCCAGTGCTTCCAGATTTTCCATGGTGGTTTATCTTCAATTGACTCGTGATCTCAACTCTATTCAATATATCTTAATTGGTATAAATAGATAACAATTTACATTATAAATATTTTTATTGTATATATCCCCTTTAGAAAGGAGTTATTTGCTAAACAAGGAAGAGTCAATCAATTTCAATCTCGTAGTCAACGTGATGAATGGATTAAAGATCAAATGAAAAGTTTATCAAAAGCTATAAAAGATAAAGAAAATACTATCAACAAATTAACAGAAGAAATTAAACGTGATGATGAAAGACGAGAAAAACTACAACAAGATTTAGAAGTTGCGGAAGAAAATATGACATGTGTTCGAAAAGAATTAGAAACGGTAAGTTAATAAAAATCAATCTATACTACTGTTACTAATTAAATGTATTAGTCATAAAGCTGTTTTGTATCTTTACTAATTTGTTTAAAGTTGTGAAACTGTGGTATGGTCTACTTATATCCATATAAGTAGTATCTGTTGATGGTCAGACATAGAATGTATTTTGGCAGAAGATCGATAAGGAAAGAACAGGAATGAAGCGCAATCGGTACGAAAATGCATAAACAATGAAATCAGAGAAGACGGACTGATACTTGCAGAAGGAACAGTTAAGATTGAGACAATTACTTGGTATTTTGCAAATTAACTGCTTGCTGTATGGTTATCAAAATTTAGTGAGATAGTCTGTAATTTGTGCTTAAATACATTCGATTGTCCCCAGTCGTGTTTTGTTCACTACAAATTAATAAAATAGGCTTCTGATCCCAATGAATTAGATTGTCTTTGACAATGGTAAAAACAAAAGAAAGATACTATAAATAAATTTAATAGTTAAAATACTAATTTATGAAATAAGTTTTACAAGCTATTTATGTGGAGGGAGATCTGGTCATTTGTAAATGAAAGTATATTTTGAAATGATGGAGAAGTTTTATAGCTCAGGTAGATGCTTTTGGCGTTGTTGAGTTCTCTGAGTTGGATGGTGTAATTGTGGAGCTTTCGTTTTTGTTTTGGGCAACATCCTCAACGCTTAATTCATAGTGAACTCAACAACATCAAAAGAAGGGTATCTTTATTATTTTTGTGTTCTACCTTTTTTTCCCCTTTTCAGAAGGTGAATTTAGTTGTTGCTAATTCAAGTGTTACGATAATTTTAAGCAACGTTTTTTCTCTCTATCCACTCTTCTGTTTTCCGTTCATGTTTCATTTTTACTAAAAACTGGTGAATGTCATTATTGCGTTTTTTCGACTTCTAAGGTATCTGAGGAACAACGTAGACTTCGTCGTGAAAAAGATGAAATTCAAACAGATAGACAAACTGTTTATCGAGAAGAAACTAGAATAGCTCACGAACTCAACAATTTACGTGATGAGTTGGCCCGTACTGAACATAATTTACGATCGATTACAGGCAAAGGAATTTTGAATGGTTTGGATTCTGTTCGTAAAGTGAGCAATTGTTATATTTTTCATTGCATGGTTTGTAACTCAAACTTAGGTTTGAAGTACTCAATATTTGCTATAATCATGGAATTTCGTATAAGTTACTTGTAATTGTTGTTCGGTTACAAATAGGGAAGCCTCTAAAAATGTATTGTTCTTGGTATGATGTTTTTTTCGATGTTATTGACAGAAAAGAGACTAATGTCACTCAAGATTTTGAGTAACCGGTGCAAATACTTTTCTGTTACCAATATTTTAAGATTGTTTTTCACACTTTTCAACTTTGACTCTTCATGATTTGCAAATATCTGGGGACAGTCAATATTTCTATTATTTCAATAGTTGAGATCATGAGTCAGACCACCATGGAAAACCTGGAAGCACTGAACAGCCGTTTTGTCTTATTGTGGGACTCTTCAGCAGTGCGCATCCACGATCCCGCCTCGCGAGATTCGAACCCATGACCTATCAGTTTCGCGCGCGAGCACTTAACCACTAGACCACTGAGTCGGTATCCAACAGTGTTAATGTCTAACTTCAACCAATCCACGAAATTGAGCGACACAACCACCATTGTCTTCAGTGAGTGACTATCTCACAACAGACCTGGTTGATTTCCACTGGTCACTGCTTCCCACTAGAACTCCAGGAAATACCTCATGTAGCCAGTCACTAGTCAGCATATGTTGATTAATATCTATTATTGTTAACTTTTAGCATTTATTTTTAAGATCCACGACATACTCATATATTTTTACTTAACTATTTATAGGTTGTTGAAATATTTCGTGATCGTTATGGCCCAGATTGTGATATTGTACAAGGTTATCATGGAACATTAATAGAATTAATTGATTGTCCAGAAACATTTTATACTAGTGTAGAAGTTACAGCTGGTTCACGTCTATTTTATCATGTTGTTCAGAATGATAAATTGGTTATTCGTATGATTGCAGAAATTAATAAACATAATCTTCCTGGTGAAGTTAATTTCCTTCCAATTAATCGCTTATGTGTACAAGAATCTTCATATCCAGAGACAAATGTAAGTTATTTGTATTTTCCATTCTCTTTGTCTTTTTCTATAATTCAGGCAGCCGAAACATATTCTGGTCGATGTTATATATGCTTTAACTGTTATCTCATCGTTCCACATTTGTCATCGTTAATCTTCAAATTATACAATGAGAGATTTGCAGTACTTATTTTCAGGGTGATCCTATGGAATATTTAATGAATACTCATCTACTTAAATGTTATTATGTCAACAGTACTACTGTTTTTTTTTTCTAGTCAAATTCTCGTTAATGTAGAACCATAAGTGAGTATCGCATTCTGATTCATGATTGTTTCTCCATGTATTTCAAGTAAATGGACATGAGTAAAGTTACAAGATGTACTAAGAACACCAAGAATAGCAGGGTATTGATTATAGAGGGAACAAATGGATTATCCCGCTTTTGAGAATAGACTAGCCAACCAACATAAAATTTCAAACATAAGAGAACACTAAAGAGTTAAATCTGAGAAGGGTTAAGAACAATTACGAGTAGAAGAGATTAAACTCACTGAAATTGATGAGTAAACAAATTCGATGATTAGCTCGCTGCAGAAAACCTATTTGTGCATTACAATGCATAGACCGTAGAAATACTAAAATATATATATTACCACTTTCTACCGGTTATCAATGTATGGTGTATAATAAAAAAACAAACAAATTTAAAACGACGTTTTGTAATTAATAAACCTGTTGATACTATTACATGTAATTTGTTAACCTCTCCAAGGTTTTGTCTATTTTTAGACTGATTGTTGTTTTTATAAACCGAATGCATAACCCGTTAATTGGATGTAAAATATATTGACGAGAGAATTTAGACGTTATAGCTAAAATACGTCAGTATTTTGTGAATTATATTTATTTCATGATGGTCAGTCCTCTTACATTGAGTAGTGGGCAAGAAATTGAACATTAAAAACCAGTTTTTAATATTAATGAGAATAAGTAGAACTAGGATGACTAAGATGTATATGATAAGCCAAATTGATTGTGATAGACACCTACATAACGACTAGGAATTATTCAAGTTCCTGATGCGCTACATTGTAGTAAGTGATTGTCGAATTTCGCCATAAGTATCCTTCTTATCTGTTAAGTTGTTTAATTTATTGTCTAACTATTGACTTGGTTCAAACTTTGGACTTTTACGAGTCAGTTAAATCAATCACTTTTGAAAAAAAGAACGATTCATTTCGATCTATATTAGAAAAAGTTTTAAAAAAAATGAATAAATATGATTATGATGTGTGATAATGAAATTAAATGGGATTTGTCACTGAGTCTGGACAAACAAGCACACTCAACTTACTGACTACTAAATGTGTAATTTCCTTTCATCTTATTGATTTCTACTACGAACCCACTGAGATTGACTGTTTGTGATTATGTGGAATAAAGTCTTGTCTAACGTTACTCTGGTTCTCTATTCTTGGTTATGAATCGTGTATCTGATATAAAGTGATCTATTCTCTGTATTGTGTGCCGTTTAGGGTGTCCAATCTAACGGCATTATAAACTCAGTCACCCAGACCAGTCCTATCATATTTATTGTATTAGCATAGTGTACTTCAGAGAGAGAAATATACTTTAAATCATTCGCCCTATCAGAATGTCATAGTATTTAGTGTATAATTTCAACTAGAACATTTATCATTTACAGCACTGAGTTACACGAAAATTTCAAATTACCTACCAGAAAACATCCATTGAAATAGACCAATCACCTCTAAATTATAACATTTCAATTGGTTAAGTGACACTTTATAATTTATCGCTTGTAAATAAATACGCTGAACATAGTAACATCTTTAGCACATATAAACCTACACTATACTTAGCCACTCATAACTAACTGTATTGACCACATACTCCGTTATAAATATTCGATCGCACCTGTAAGTTAGCATATGATTTTGCGAGGACGAAAAGCGAATGCCCGGAGCTTTAACTGGGTTAGTGGGCACGGAAAATTCACCTAGGGGAGTTGCAAAACCCTGATTTCAAACCAATGATGTACATGGGCTCCAGTATATTGAGAGAACAAATGGCGTATGAACCAGTTATTGGTCACTGGCTACCATGGGACTGCATCTCCTCACGATGCTCCACTGCCTTGTGGTTCAAACATTTAGGTCAAAAGCTCCCGGTGTAACCCCCTAAGAAAACCACCTACTTCAGTTTGGGCACCTGGGCAGTATCATAGCCCTCACACAAATCAAGTGAGATTTGTGTACTTAACTTACTTAACTTACGCCTGTTATCCCTCGTGGAGGAGCATAGGCCGCTCACTAGCATTCTCCATCCAACTCTGTCCTGGGCAATCCTTTCCAGTTCTTTCCACTTAACATTCATCCTTTTCATATCTGCTTCTATTTCCCGACGTAATGTGTTCTTTGGCCTTCCTCTTTTCCGCTTCCCTTCAGGATTCCAGGTTAGGCATTGCCTCGTGATGCACATTGGTGATTTCCTTAATGTATGTCCGATCCACTTTCAACGTCTTTTCCTAAGAGATTTGTGTGGCGCATATATATCTGGTGTCCCTTTGTACCAATATTTATATGTTTAAATAATAATAATTATTATTATGCATTGTAAATAACTGTTTTATACAAGATTTTCAGTAGATGTTTATGTTAAATATTTCTTATTATAATGATGACTAAACTCTTAAAAATAGTACTAGTAGAGAGTAAGCCACTCTGTAAGTTAGTTAGTTTCTTCAAGAATGTTTTACAGTATACAGAATAATTGGTTGTTATGCTTTTTTTAATAATAAACAAACCATAATTTCAGGATGCAATTCCAATGATATCTCGTTTAAATTTTGATGAAAAATTTCGTGGTGTAATGTTACATATTTTTGGGAAAACATTAATTTGTCGTAGTATTGAAATTGCAACTCAATTGGCTCGAACAAAAAATTTTGATTGTATTACACTTGATGGTAAGATTGTATTATCTGGTGTCAATCATTTCTGAACACGGTTTATGTTAATTTTTTTATTTTATAACTGTTATAACTTGTAGCCGAGTATATGCCTTGTTAAAGTATGACGTGATAAGACCGTCAATCAGAGTGCAGCGAATTATCAGTTGGAACAGTGACACACGAAAACCGTACGAGCAGTTTAGAGTGCTTATCGGTCCTGCTTCTGCCTAACCCAGTCAGTTAAGTCCAGAACACCAATAACACCCTCTGCAATATAAATCATTATTCTCAAACATACTGGGTCTATATACCGAACAAACTGAACACATCGTACCAATAAAATAGAAAGTAACATTTGTACAAGATTTAGCCCAATGTGGCTGTGAATGTGGGAGGCAGTAATTAATAGACTGGGGATAACTCAAGAATGGTAAATCGTATAATGATAGTCTACAAGTCAAGATAAAGCTTATGATAAGGGAAACATGAATATGAATAGTTTAGTTATTTAGCAATTATACGATACAAATATTTGCATAATATTGGTTCATAAATGGATCCCAAAGTTACCATTCACTATTGTTATCGAGGCATAACGATAACACCTTGTATTGGCCGAGTTTTTTTAAATGCACTTATAATCCAGAAGTTTCACTGTTATTGTTTGTAATTTTAAATTATGGATTGACGTTAGTTTGACAACCGTTGTGAACCAGAAAACAAAAGGTAGATGTTTTCTTCTAGCATGGGACTCTCTAGCAGTGCTCACACATAATCTTACCAGAGTTAGAACCCTAGATCCTTCAAACCTCGGGGTAAACACCTGACTTTCAGATCACTAAAATGTCAATCAGTGGTTTACATGTATAACCTCATTCAATTCGGTACATGAAGATGAAAAAGCTGTCAAGTGCTCACAGGTTTTCAGTTGTGGTTTAAATAAAGTTAGGTCATGATATAGAACCATTAATTCAACAATCTCTCAATGCCCTACTTGAAACAAAGTTTAAGCATTTAGTTTTCATTCAATAGGTTTCAGGTTGGAACTCTGTTCCAGTTACTTTGCTTTGGCCATCAAATCCAAGTGCATAAATCTGTACCTGATAAATAAGTTACGCTATCATTCACTTTATATTTTTTGTATATTTGTAGTGTATATAATAATGCCTAGTATTATAAGATTTACTATAATGTTTAGTGATGCAACTGAAACTGTTTCACTTGTGTGCTCGTTTGTTAATTACAATACGGACCATTATATTCGCATCCTTTTTGATCTTTTTAACTGCATTACTTGTTATTATTATTGTTATTATTATAACTTGAACTACCAAACTATTATGATGAAAAAAATTTGGTTAAAACTTGACGTCTATTTATTTTTTTTTACACGGACAGGTGATCAAGTATCACGTAAAGGTACACTTACCGGAGGATATTATGACAGTCGATTATCACGTTTAGAATTACAGAAACGTAAACAAAAAACTGAAATTGAAATTCAAGAAACAGAAAATGTTCGTGAGAATAATGCTAAACGTAAAGAACAAGTTGATGCACAAATTAACCGTATCATTGATGATGTACAACGTAAGGATACAGTAAGATCAAAACATGAGTGAGTTTATAAAAAACTACCTGTCTTTATTTGTACATAAATTATTATTATTATTTTTATTATTGTATTCGATATTTCATTGATAAGGTTTGGGTAAATTAAACTTAAGTCGTTTTAAATATCTCTTTTGACTGGAGGTGTTCATTAAAATGGAGTATACCTCAATTCTGCACCCAAGCAATGGAAATAATAATGTAGTATTGGAAGGAGTTTACATCATTTGCTTTTTGTCTACATTAGTGAATAAGTAACGGAAATCTAATAACAAGACAGTGGTGTTTATCAAGAATAAGTCGTCTCTGAATTTTTGCTTTTTTCAATATTTGGCTTTGTGATGAAATATTGTCAAAAAAAGATTTTCGAAGCTATTCATCTATTAATTGAAACGTAACCTTTTTGTGGACTACTTATGTGATAAATGAGTTACTTGGCAAAGTTTTGACGTTTGTCTACTCTATTATAAAAAACTGTTTACTATCGTTTTGTTATAGGAACTCCTGGAGTATATAAGCATTTGTCTCAAGCTATCAGACGCTAGAGGTTTCTATGATCATTTAATATTTCAGATTTATTTATGCACGCCTAGGGTTTTGATAAAATTAAATCATATTAATGCAAGAAATCGGTGAAAATCGTCGAATTTTATAGTTTAGATTACAAAGTGAACCTTAGTTAGATGACCACTAAAAATTAATAAGCATCAGACCGCTGTTTCGTCTTGGTATAGAAATCATTGGCAGTGAGCAACCGCTACCCCGATTGGATGTCGAACTCGGAACCTACATGTTTATTAGTCAGCTCTTCATCTTTAGACCACTGAGTCGTAATCCATTGGTTTATATTTTCAATTTCGACCAATTTTTGATGTTGCTCAACTATCCTTCAATGGAGTTAGCGGGTAGCTGCCGCTCTTCCGATATCATTGGACTATAATAGCCACAGTTTCTCACGAGAAATTAGAGAATTACCTCTCAAATCTTGCGTGGTTTCTGGTTGAGAAGAATTATGGCTAGTCATTACCTACGTATTTATGATGCGACTCGATATTTTACTGGATTGGGATTATTATTCAAAAACTAATAGGTTAGATAAGAGTGGTATTTATCAATACATGTCCTTCCATCTATTTTACAGTTTGAACGGTGCGATTCAATATAAAGGTTCATCAATGCACAAATGACATCACACGTGTTATAGAGGAGATTTGGATAATAACCAGATATCTAGAGACTACTTACTTTAACTGTCTAAACAAACTAAAATCCCAGATAATTAAGAGTAACTCAATGTAGCGGTAAATGCAAGAAGAAAAATCAAGCACCGCAAACATTTGTGATACACAGTGTTGAAATTGAGCAACAGCGTCGCTCGTCAAATGGCTCTACCAAGGACCGAGGAAAGAGTAATCCATCTATCAAACTCATTCGATATGTTTGAGTTGATGCTGGAGCTACTGTAATCTAATATTTTTTTGAAATGTGATTATGTTAGGATTCTGGACATGTAAATACTGCTAACGGATCAAAATTGAATATTTCTAATCAAGAGAAAAAAAGTCTACTGTATTCTGGAATAGAAATAAATTAAACCAGGTTTTCATACTTTCATCTTGCTAAATATTAAGGAAGAAATGATTATTATTTATCAAGAACAATTCAAATGAAATAATTATCTCTGTATTGGTGAATATAAATGAATCAGATATGGTGAATAATTTAATTTTCAAGGGAGCAACTTATAAATCAATTGATCCTTTAATTCTTCTAGATATAACTCATTTTGGGAACCAAATACGGTTATCACTGACTGTTGTAGTTCAAAGGTTAGGGTACTTTACTGAATATATTCAAACAGTTGAATTTCGTACGTATAGAAGATATTTTGAAATTGATGTAATTAGAATGTTTTCGCTTGAAAATAAGGTCTTATTGTAAGTTTATTTTTCTGTCTTTACTGTATTCGTTGTTTGTTTTCTTTTTAATATTTTAGAATGACATTTGATAAGTTAAAAAAAGATATTCATATGTGGAAGGAAGAATTACGTGGTAAACAAGAAACTAAACCACAGAAAGAATACAAATTATCATCTTTACGTCATGACTTAGATCAAATGAAATATACAATGGAATCTTATAAAGTTAGTTTGATATTATTTTGTTAATGTTAGCGTACTTATGTAATAACTCGACCGTTGCTGCTACCTTGACATGGTGATCGGGCTTGCCTATCGTGATGAACCAACATCTTCAAACCCTAATCTTTCACATTAATGCTTATACTCTTACTACTTCTACCACTATGGTATTTGAATGGACAACTGCATCTCTGTGCTAATTTGGTATGGCAATTCGAACTGATGTACGTACGAAGTTTTACGCTGTGACTGACTGACTGACTGACATAGATCAGTATTAACGAGTATTATTTTTTCTGGTACATAGTGCTGGTAGAATTCGAACAGCTAATCCATTTTTCACAGTGATATCGTCAAAATTAGTCAGTCTGTCAAACTCAGCGTAGAACCTGGTACATATATACATCGATTCAAGTTGTCGTAATTCATTAGCACAACGAGATGAAACTGTCAAAGTAAATCTCAGAGTCGTAGAAGTAGTAACAGTATCTGTCGTAGTACGAAAGGTTAGGCATCGAAGATAAGATTGGAGAAGAAAATATAAATTCGTCAAATAAAAAAAGTTATCAGGAATTCAGAAGCTTAAAATTTGGAGAGGAAAATCTAATCCTACTTTTCTATCTAGAATTATGCTTACATTTTAAAATGTACTCAAATTGGTCAGTTGAATATTTGAGTAGTTTATTTTATTGATTAAAGGTTTAAATTAATCGAAAATATCGTTTTTTTACTTCTAGGTTGAATTAGGAACTGATTTATTAAGCCAATTATCAGTTCAGGAGCAACGTGAAGTTGATCGTTTAAATGATAAAATTCAAGAACTAACCAGAGAAGCTAAAGATGCTTATAAGTAAGTTACGTGTGTACATATTTTACATTGATCAGTTTGGTTAAATAAAATCATTCATTTGGTTCTGTTGGGGATGCTAGATCCACAGAAATCGCTTAGTAAAAGTCTCAGTTTTGTAATTTTACTTTGGAAATTTAGAATTCTCGTTTTCGCGCCAAAAGCCCCTACTTTCGCATTCAGTTTGTATTTCCCACTTGGAAGAACCTTAAATATCATTGGTTCGTTTCCTCTTTCAGTATGCTATTTTGTGACGTTTCCAAGGTTATTTTTGTACTGTACATATACGCATGAGTTATGTCCTTGTTTGTTCATGCTTCTAACTATTTTTGAAATACATATTTCCTTCGGCTGAATCTGGTGTTCTCTCTCTAGTTAACAGAACTGTGGCGTATTGGAATTGCTTAGTTTGTCCTGTTGTAGTATTGCTGACTTTCGTTCAGTTCCCCTGTTTTAGGTGATATCGTAACCTCTTCAGTCGTATCAGTTTTCTTATAATAAGTATTGTCATATAAACATTCTCATTTCATTCATTGCTGACATCATTTAAAGTAGTGAATCCTGAAGTCGTATTTCAAATTGTAGCTGTATTTTGTTTCAAAAAGTTTGAACCAAGAGAAAAACCAATACCTCTTTCTCATTAGGACTAGTTTACGTTAGCAGGATAAAGTGCTAACGATTAGATGCTCAATGTAAACCCAAGTCTGAATATTCTGATTAGTCTATTTTAACCAAGTGGCTCTAGCGAACGAATGAAGAAATTTTTCATGGAAATTCGATGTAAACGTTGACGTTTTTATTACTGTACGATGTTATCTCAGTTCCCTGTAATATTTCTTGTTCTCAGCCCATTCTCGTTTTGATATGTGGTAGTTCAAGTTCAGTACAGGGGTTAGAAAGTCTAGATAAGGATGAGGGGAAATCAGAATAGCGATTCCAAATGACAAACTAAGTGGTACTCTGTAACAACAATATTCTCAGATACTCTCCTGTGTTTCGGCGTACTCACACATGTCATCTCTTATTAACGCAGTTCAAAGAATCATCCCCGAACTTATTTATGATCTCCAATAAATCATATGGACTATAAAATTATGTATAGAATTAATACTCTGCATTGGTTGAAAGTGTATAGAATAGGATAATGTCTATTTTCATTTTAATGATAAGTTAATAAGAGAAATATTCTGTTTAAGTTTACTGATTATATTTTTCCTAATGTGTTGGGTGAATAATTTTCTTCTTTTCCATCCCTCCCCTCGGTCTTAGAAAAAGAATTACACTAGAAACTGAAAAGAATGAAAAAGAAACTCAACTAGAACATAATTTATTAAGAAAACAAGAACAATTAGAATCTGAGGTAGCTGAAGCTTCAGAACAAGATTTACAAGATCGTTTAACTGAATCAGAAGAAGAATTGCGTGAGGTAATTTATTGCTTTTTTGGTCATTCATTAAAAATACTTTTAATAATATTTCATATTTTTTTAATTATTGTCTCTGTTTATGGTGTTAATTCACTGAATAAGTGATTTTCAAAAGCTGCCTTTGAGTGTAATATTCTGCAGTCTCTGTTGGTGCGTTCTGTACTTCGTAGAGATAGATTTATGATTTCAATGTAGTGCTGATAGTTTGTTTGGATTTTTCCAGAAATACTGAAGTATCGGCATTGACCTAAGCTCCATAATCGAAGTACTATTAATTAACTAGACTTCCACTGACAGTCCTCTATGTGTTGATAGACTAGTCGATGAAATCTATTCAATAAGTAACTAGCATCAGAAACTATGTTTTCTCGTTATCTTCATCGTTGATTCGATGATTTGCAACTCGGATGTAATAAATGATGATTAGTACGAACAGCTGAAGTATTCTAACGAAATACTTTCTATAGATATTGTGGGATTATTTGATAGAATTGAATGAGATATTGTAACCACGTTTTCTTAATTAGGAGGCAAACCAATAGATAATCATCTTAACATTGTACTTGATGAAAGATTTTGCTTAAATTAACGACTTAATGGTCGAATCAAACCACAATATTATTGCAAGGAGACGATTAGCTAGCTGCTGGTCTAAATGATATTGGGCAAGTTTCAGGACGCTCACTTCATATTATTTAGGACTCGTAAGCTCAAAGTATATTTATGCCAGTTTTGATGCTTACACTAGTACTCAAACTCATTACTTACTACTTGTGACATTTTATATACATGCTCTCCACTAATACAAGCCTGACATCCTCGTTGCCCTGATCAGAAAGCAAATATTTATTACAAAAACATAACTGTTACTATTTTAAAACCTTATTCAATATATTTTCTTTGCTTAGCTTTAGAGTATGATTTGTTATAAATACCATCAATAACATTCAGACATTTTAATATTTTGTTTTTATTCATCCTGTTGACATTGTTTATCTAGGTTGAACGTCTTATTGAAGGTGCTCAGCGTACAGTAGATGAAGTAGAAACACGTTTATCTGCTCTATTACATGAACAACGTCAATTGGAATCAGAAATGGAACGTAAAAAACAAGAAGAAAAAGAATACGCTGAACGTATACAAGATGATCAACAAAATTTAGAAAAAATGCAATCAAAACAAAGTCAATTATTAAAAAAGGTATATTCACATTATGATTATTTGTTATAAGTAAAATTTTCACTTGTTAAATAATTTTAATCATAGTTAAATTAATTTTTGTTATAGAATAATATTTAATTTCAACTAAGTTGTATAGTCAGTCAGTCAGTCAGTCACAACGTAGAACTTCGTACGTACGTACATCAGTTCGAGTTGACATACTAATTTTTACAATTAAACATTTATCATATGCTTGTTAGTGGGCTTACTTCAAAGTTTTAATGATAACTTGTAACTAGTAGAGTTCAACTATGTTGACAGTAATGATTATGTTGCACTATATTAACTTATCTTATATGGATCATAAGATTTCATTTTAATGGTTTAAGTGTAACACAGTCGAAAACAAAAATATCTTGATTTCAACTCCTGACAATGTCATAGTTCAATACTTCTGAGAAAATGACATAATAAAACAGAATATCTGTTCAAAGATCATTGATTTTCATTAATATTTATCCTGTTGATGTTAGTCCATGATGAAAATCAACTTAAACTAATCTTAACAAATTCCTAGACCGAACTTTTTCTTTTTAGAGCATTGTTTCATTACATTATAGGACAACAAAATATTGTTTATTTATTTAAACACATAAATATTGGTACAAAGAGGCACCAGATATATATGCGCCACACAAGTGTCATTTGATTTGTGTGAGGGCTGTGATACTTCCCGGGTCCCCAGACCAAAAAAGGTAGTTTTCTTTGGGAACACACCTCGAGCCTTTGACATAAAGATCTGATCTACAAGGCAGTGGAGCATCGTAAGGAAATTCAGTCCCATGGTAGCCGGCCATCAACGATTGATTCATACTCCATTTGTTCCTTCACGATACTGGAGCCCATGTGCACCATTGGTTTGGAATCAGAGTTTTCCAACTCCCCTAGGTGTGGACTCTCCGTGTCCATCAACCCGGTTAAAGCGCCGGACATTCGCTTTTTGTCCTCTCAATTTCGTAAACAGCACCCCCGCCACGAGAAGTCAGTGCGTAGGACTTCCCTGGTAGAGGCTGTATAGGCGTGGCTGTGTGAGAGCATTTGGAGAGGGAGAGCGTACTCTCCCCACTCTTGGCCATACCAGGGCATTTTGGGGGCTGATACCTATTACAAATTTAACATATCTTTGAAATGTTTCTTTTTTTGAAGTTAATTATTTAAAACTTTGAATAATCCTTTGATTTTCTTTTCCCTAAACAAAAGAAAAAAACAGATGACTATTTCTATATTCTGTTTCATTTATTTTAGAAAGAAGAAAATATGAAGAAAATTCGTGATTTAGGTTCTTTGCCAGCAAATACATTTGATAAATTTCAAGATAAAAATATGAAACAAGTATGTAGATTATAGAAGGGGTTTTGTGGAGATTTAGTATTTATCATTGTTGAAAGCGTGAGTCAATTGAAGCTAGACCACCATGGAAAACCTGGAAACACTGGACGGCCGTTTCGTCCTATTATGGGACTCCTCAGCAGTGCGCATCCACGAACCTGCTCTCGCGAGCGAGATTCGAACCCAGGACCTACCAGTCTCGAGCCGAAGCCCTTAACCGATAGACCACTGAGCTGGCATCCAACGGTGTTAATGTCTAACTTCAACTGATCCACGAAGTTGAGCAACCATTCACCAATTGTCTTCAGTGAGTTCCTATCTCACAACAGACGTGGTTTTGAACTCCACTGGTCACTGCTTCTCACTAGAGCTCCTAGATATACTTCTCGAAATCACTAGTGAGCATATTATTATATTAATTATAGAAGGGGTTTTGTGGAGATTTAGTATTTATCATTGTTGAAAGCGTGAGTCAATTGAAGCTAGACCACCATGGAAAACCTGGAAACACTGGACGGCCGTTTCGTCCTATTATGGGACTCCTCAGCAGTGCGCATCCACGAACCTGCTCTCGCGAGCGAGATTCGAACCCAGGACCTACCAGTCTCGAGCCGAAGCCCTTAACCGATAGACCACTGAGCTGGCATCCAACGGTGTTAATGTCTAACTTCAACTGATCCACGAAGTTGAGCAACCATTCACCAATTGTCTTCAGTGAGTTCCTATCTCACAACAGACGTGGTTTTGAACTCCACTGGTCACTGCTTCTCACTAGAGCTCCTAGATATACTTCTCGAAATCACTAGTGAGCATATTATTATATTAATTATAGAAGGGGTTTTGTGGAGATTTAGTATTTATCATTGTTGAAAGCGTGAGTCAATTGAAGCTAGACCACCATGGAAAACCTGGAAACACTGGACGGCCGTTTCGTCCTATTATGGGACTCCTCAGCAGTGCGCATCCACGAACCTGCTCTCGCGAGCGAGATTCGAACCCAGGACCTACCAGTCTCGAGCCGAAGCCCTTAACCGATAGACCACTGAGCTGGCATCCAACGGTGTTAATATCTAACTTCAACTGATCCACGAAGTTGAGCAACCATTCACCAATTGTCTTCAGTGAGTTCCTATCTCACAACAGACGTGGTTTTGAACTCCACTGGTCACTGCTTCTCACTAGAGCTCCTAGATATACTTCTCGAAATCACTAGTGAGCATATTATTATATTAATTATAGAAGGGGTTTTGTGGAGATTTAGTATTTATCATTGTTGAAAGCGTGAGTCAATTGAAGCTAGACCACCATGGAAAACCTGGAAACACTGGACGGCCGTTTCGTCCTATTATGGGACTCCTCAGCAGTGCGCATCCACGAACCTGCTCTCGCGAGCGAGATTCGAACCCAGGACCTACCAGTCTCGAGCCGAAGCCCTTAACCGATAGACCACTGAGCTGGCATCCAACGGTGTTAATGTCTAACTTCAACTGATCCACGAAGTTGAGCAACCATTCACCAATTGTCTTCAGTGAGTTCCTATCTCACAACAGACGTGGTTTTGAACTCCACTGGTCACTGCTTCTCACTAGAGCTCCTAGATATACTTCTCGAAATCACTAGTGAGCATATTATTATATTAATTATAGAAGGGGTTTTGTGGAGATTTAGTATTTATCATTGTTGAAAGCGTGAGTCAATTGAAGCTAGACCACCATGGAAAACCTGGAAACACTGGACGGCCGTTTCGTCCTATTATGGGACTCCTCAGCAGTGCGCATCCACGAACCTGCTCTCGCGAGCGAGATTCGAACCCAGGACCTACCAGTCTCGAGCCGAAGCCCTTAACCGATAGACCACTGAGCTGGCATCCAACGGTGTTAATGTCTAACTTCAACTGATCCACGAAGTTGAGCAACCATTCACCAATTGTCTTCAGTGAGTTCCTATCTCACAACAGACGTGGTTTTGAACTCCACTGGTCACTGCTTCTCACTAGAGCTCCTAGATATACTTCTCGAAATCACTAGTGAGCATATTATTATATTAATTATAGAAGGGGTTTTGTGGAGATTTAGTATTTATCATTGTTGAAAGCGTGAGTCAATTGAAGCTAGACCACCATGGAAAACCTGGAAACACTGGACGGCCGTTTCGTCCTATTATGGGACTCCTCAGCAGTGCGCATCCACGAACCTGCTCTCGCGAGCGAGATTCGAACCCAGGACCTACCAGTCTCGAGCCGAAGCCCTTAACCGATAGACCACTGAGCTGGCATCCAACGGTGTTAATGTCTAACTTCAACTGATCCACGAAGTTGAGCAACCATTCACCAATTGTCTTCAGTGAGTTCCTATCTCACAACAGACGTGGTTTTGAACTCCACTGGTCACTGCTTCTCACTAGAGCTCCTAGATATACTTCTCGAAATCACTAGTGAGCATATTATTATATTAATTATAGAAGGGGTTTTGTGGAGATTTAGTATTTATCATTGTTGAAAGCGTGAGTCAATTGAAGCTAGACCACCATGGAAAACCTGGAAACACTGGACGGCCGTTTCGTCCTATTATGGGACTCCTCAGCAGTGCGCATCCACGAACCTGCTCTCGCGAGCGAGATTCGAACCCAGGACCTACCAGTCTCGAGCCGAAGCCCTTAACCGATAGACCACTGAGCTGGCATCCAACGGTGTTAATGTCTAACTTCAACTGATCCACGAAGTTGAGCAACCATTCACCAATTGTCTTCAGTGAGTTCCTATCTCACAACAGACGTGGTTTTGAACTCCACTGGTCACTGCTTCTCACTAGAGCTCCTAGATATACTTCTCGAAATCACTAGTGAGCATATTATTATATTAATTATAGAAGGGGTTTTGTGGAGATTTAGTATTTATCATTGTTGAAAGCGTGAGTCAATTGAAGCTAGACCACCATGGAAAACCTGGAAACACTGGACGGCCGTTTCGTCCTATTATGGGACTCCTCAGCAGTGCGCATCCACGAACCTGCTCTCGCGAGCGAGATTCGAACCCAGGACCTACCAGTCTCGAGCCGAAGCCCTTAACCGATAGACCACTGAGCTGGCATCCAACGGTGTTAATGTCTAACTTCAACTGATCCACGAAGTTGAGCAACCATTCACCAATTGTCTTCAGTGAGTTCCTATCTCACAACAGACGTGGTTTTGAACTCCACTGGTCACTGCTTCTCACTAGAGCTCCTAGATATACTTCTCGAAATCACTAGTGAGCATATTATTATATTAATTATAGAAGGGGTTTTGTGGAGATTTAGTATTTATCATTGTTGAAAGCGTGAGTCAATTGAAGCTAGACCACCATGGAAAACCTGGAAACACTGGACGGCCGTTTCGTCCTATTATGGGACTCCTCAGCAGTGCGCATCCACGAACCTGCTCTCGCGAGCGAGATTCGAACCCAGGACCTACCAGTCTCGAGCCGAAGCCCTTAACCGATAGACCACTGAGCTGGCATCCAACGGTGTTAATGTCTAACTTCAACTGATCCACGAAGTTGAGCAACCATTCACCAATTGTCTTCAGTGAGTTCCTATCTCACAACAGACGTGGTTTTGAACTCCACTGGTCACTGCTTCTCACTAGAGCTCCTAGATATACTTCTCGAAATCACTAGTGAGCATATTATTATATTAATTATAGAAGGGGTTTTGTGGAGATTTAGTATTTATCATTGTTGAAAGCGTGAGTCAATTGAAGCTAGACCACCATGGAAAACCTGGAAACACTGGACGGCCGTTTCGTCCTATTATGGGACTCCTCAGCAGTGCGCATCCACGAACCTGCTCTCGCGAGCGAGATTCGAACCCAGGACCTACCAGTCTCGAGCCGAAGCCCTTAACCGATAGACCACTGAGCTGGCATCCAACGGTGTTAATGTCTAACTTCAACTGATCCACGAAGTTGAGCAACCATTCACCAATTGTCTTCAGTGAGTTCCTATCTCACAACAGACGTGGTTTTGAACTCCACTGGTCACTGCTTCTCACTAGAGCTCCTAGATATACTTCTCGAAATCACTAGTGAGCATATTATTATATTAATTATAGAAGGGGTTTTGTGGAGATTTAGTATTTATCATTGTTGAAAGCGTGAGTCAATTGAAGCTAGACCACCATGGAAAACCTGGAAACACTGGACGGCCGTTTCGTCCTATTATGGGACTCCTCAGCAGTGCGCATCCACGAACCTGCTCTCGCGAGCGAGATTCGAACCCAGGACCTACCAGTCTCGAGCCGAAGCCCTTAACCGATAGACCACTGAGCTGGCATCCAACGGTGTTAATGTCTAACTTCAACTGATCCACGAAGTTGAGCAACCATTCACCAATTGTCTTCAGTGAGTTCCTATCTCACAACAGACGTGGTTTTGAACTCCACTGGTCACTGCTTCTCACTAGAGCTCCTAGATATACTTCTCGAAATCACTAGTGAGCATATTATTATATTAATTATAGAAGGGGTTTTGTGGAGATTTAGTATTTATCATTGTTGAAAGCGTGAGTCAATTGAAGCTAGACCACCATGGAAAACCTGGAAACACTGGACGGCCGTTTCGTCCTATTATGGGACTCCTCAGCAGTGCGCATCCACGAACCTGCTCTCGCGAGCGAGATTCGAACCCAGGACCTACCAGTCTCGAGCCGAAGCCCTTAACCGATAGACCACTGAGCTGGCATCCAACGGTGTTAATGTCTAACTTCAACTGATCCACGAAGTTGAGCAACCATTCACCAATTGTCTTCAGTGAGTTCCTATCTCACAACAGACGTGGTTTTGAACTCCACTGGTCACTGCTTCTCACTAGAGCTCCTAGATATACTTCTCGAAATCACTAGTGAGCATATTATTATATTAATTATAGAAGGGGTTTTGTGGAGATTTAGTATTTATCATTGTTGAAAGCGTGAGTCAATTGAAGCTAGACCACCATGGAAAACCTGGAAACACTGGACGGCCGTTTCGTCCTATTATGGGACTCCTCAGCAGTGCGCATCCACGAACCTGCTCTCGCGAGCGAGATTCGAACCCAGGACCTACCAGTCTCGAGCCGAAGCCCTTAACCGATAGACCACTGAGCTGGCATCCAACGGTGTTAATGTCTAACTTCAACTGATCCACGAAGTTGAGCAACCATTCACCAATTGTCTTCAGTGAGTTCCTATCTCACAACAGACGTGGTTTTGAACTCCACTGGTCACTGCTTCTCACTAGAGCTCCTAGATATACTTCTCGAAATCACTAGTGAGCATATTATTATATTAATTATAGAAGGGGTTTTGTGGAGATTTAGTATTTATCATTGTTGAAAGCGTGAGTCAATTGAAGCTAGACCACCATGGAAAACCTGGAAACACTGGACGGCCGTTTCGTCCTATTATGGGACTCCTCAGCAGTGCGCATCCACGAACCTGCTCTCGCGAGCGAGATTCGAACCCAGGACCTACCAGTCTCGAGCCGAAGCCCTTAACCGATAGACCACTGAGCTGGCATCCAACGGTGTTAATGTCTAACTTCAACTGATCCACGAAGTTGAGCAACCATTCACCAATTGTCTTCAGTGAGTTCCTATCTCACAACAGACGTGGTTTTGAACTCCACTGGTCACTGCTTCTCACTAGAGCTCCTAGATATACTTCTCGAAATCACTAGTGAGCATATTATTATATTAATTATAGAAGGGGTTTTGTGGAGATTTAGTATTTATCATTGTTGAAAGCGTGAGTCAATTGAAGCTAGACCACCATGGAAAACCTGGAAACACTGGACGGCCGTTTCGTCCTATTATGGGACTCCTCAGCAGTGCGCATCCACGAACCTGCTCTCGCGAGCGAGATTCGAACCCAGGACCTACCAGTCTCGAGCCGAAGCCCTTAACCGATAGACCACTGAGCTGGCATCCAACGGTGTTAATGTCTAACTTCAACTGATCCACGAAGTTGAGCAACCATTCACCAATTGTCTTCAGTGAGTTCCTATCTCACAACAGACGTGGTTTTGAACTCCACTGGTCACTGCTTCTCACTAGAGCTCCTAGATATACTTCTCGAAATCACTAGTGAGCATATTATTATATTAATTATAGAAGGGGTTTTGTGGAGATTTAGTATTTATCATTGTTGAAAGCGTGAGTCAATTGAAGCTAGACCACCATGGAAAACCTGGAAACACTGGACGGCCGTTTCGTCCTATTATGGGACTCCTCAGCAGTGCGCATCCACGAACCTGCTCTCGCGAGCGAGATTCGAACCCAGGACCTACCAGTCTCGAGCCGAAGCCCTTAACCGATAGACCACTGAGCTGGCATCCAACGGTGTTAATGTCTAACTTCAACTGATCCACGAAGTTGAGCAACCATTCACCAATTGTCTTCAGTGAGTTCCTATCTCACAACAGACGTGGTTTTGAACTCCACTGGTCACTGCTTCTCACTAGAGCTCCTAGATATACTTCTCGAAATCACTAGTGAGCATATTATTATATTAATTATAGAAGGGGTTTTGTGGAGATTTAGTATTTATCATTGTTGAAAGCGTGAGTCAATTGAAGCTAGACCACCATGGAAAACCTGGAAACACTGGACGGCCGTTTCGTCCTATTATGGGACTCCTCAGCAGTGCGCATCCACGAACCTGCTCTCGCGAGCGAGATTCGAACCCAGGACCTACCAGTCTCGAGCCGAAGCCCTTAACCGATAGACCACTGAGCTGGCATCCAACGGTGTTAATGTCTAACTTCAACTGATCCACGAAGTTGAGCAACCATTCACCAATTGTCTTCAGTGAGTTCCTATCTCACAACAGACGTGGTTTTGAACTCCACTGGTCACTGCTTCTCACTAGAGCTCCTAGATATACTTCTCGAAATCACTAGTGAGCATATTATTATATTAATTATAGAAGGGGTTTTGTGGAGATTTAGTATTTATCATTGTTGAAAGCGTGAGTCAATTGAAGCTAGACCACCATGGAAAACCTGGAAACACTGGACGGCCGTTTCGTCCTATTATGGGACTCCTCAGCAGTGCGCATCCACGAACCTGCTCTCGCGAGCGAGATTCGAACCCAGGACCTACCAGTCTCGAGCCGAAGCCCTTAACCGATAGACCACTGAGCTGGCATCCAACGGTGTTAATGTCTAACTTCAACTGATCCACGAAGTTGAGCAACCATTCACCAATTGTCTTCAGTGAGTTCCTATCTCACAACAGACGTGGTTTTGAACTCCACTGGTCACTGCTTCTCACTAGAGCTCCTAGATATACTTCTCGAAATCACTAGTGAGCATATTATTATATTAATTATAGAAGGGGTTTTGTGGAGATTTAGTATTTATCATTGTTGAAAGCGTGAGTCAATTGAAGCTAGACCACCATGGAAAACCTGGAAACACTGGACGGCCGTTTCGTCCTATTATGGGACTCCTCAGCAGTGCGCATCCACGAACCTGCTCTCGCGAGCGAGATTCGAACCCAGGACCTACCAGTCTCGAGCCGAAGCCCTTAACCGATAGACCACTGAGCTGGCATCCAACGGTGTTAATGTCTAACTTCAACTGATCCACGAAGTTGAGCAACCATTCACCAATTGTCTTCAGTGAGTTCCTATCTCACAGCAGACAACAAGTATGTAGATATACGTATACATATTTATGAAATAGCTCGATAATTAAACTAACACATTATTAATGTTATCTCATTGAAGGCACACTCCAAGTGTGAAGTGTAGTGTTAATACCCGACTACTGAAACCAAAATAGGTGGAGCTGGGTTCGAAACTGTGATATAGTGACTGAAAGTCGAACACTTTAACTACTGCGTCACTGCTTTAATACAACTATATATATAATTGTGTTTGAGAGTTAGTGAGACTACTTGGTTACCTTTTAAGTCGTATGAATCTCATGAATGAATTTGTTTGAACTGTTTATTCCATATCGGAGATATTAATAATATTTTAAAATGTCGCATTGGATCAATGTACGTTTTATTTTCTCACATTATTTGATTCTCTATATATTTAGAGTATGAAAAGGTTGTATACTAACGTTTATATATGTAGTGTGATTATTATTCAGGCGATATAATTAATTTTTGTACTTCAGAGCGCATGATAGGAAGTCGTTTAATGGAGTTTAGTTTTCTGAGCTAGATGTTTTAACTTTGAAGCTCTCATTGTTTTTTTTTGAACGACATCAACACAAACTTTAGGCAGAGATGTGAGCCATTCGAATTTCTCCGCATGTGACTGATAGCTTGTCTTATCAACCATCCAGCTCAAGGAATGAAACCTCAACAAAGGAAGTTTTAAAACCAAAACGTCCTAAATGAGATTACCATCATAATTTTTGCTACTTCATATACTCGTACTGTTTAGACTGTTTAAACTTCACAACATTTTCGTATTGAAAGAAAACGAGCATTTATTTCACTTTGGTTTAATTTTATTGAAATAGTACCTCAAATTTCTATTTCTAATGCAAATTTCTGACCAATGAAATCGAACCATTTCGATTGCGAGTCAATTACCCACCAATGTCGTTGAAAAAGTGCAAACTACTGGATGTCGACTTGATAGTTCAAAGGCTAGGTACTCTTTGCGAGACCGAGACTTAAAGGTTTTGGATTCGGTCCCGAGTAAGATCTTGTATGTTCACTACTGAAGAATGCTATATTAGAACAAAATAGCTGTCCAATGTGTTTTAATATCCAATGGTTGTCCGCAGTGTAAACTATAACAATAAACTATCTATTGATGTAGCAATGGAAGTAACCACCTATATCAAAATATATGTCGGCTTTAAATATTATGATCTTATGAAATGTGAAATATTATTTAAGTGATAGCATCCATCGTTACAAAAATGGTTCACGAGACTGTGATGAGTCGGTAATATTCTCATTACTGTAAAGCAGCTTCTTTTAATTACAAACCATCTTCATATTTTTTGTAAAACAAGAGATACAAGAAAAAAACAACCGTTATGTGACGTTGAATAGTCATTAAACTGAATTGTGAAAAGTCAAGAATTCGCATATATTGTATTCTCAAAAGGGGGTTTTGTGGAGATTTTAGTAATTTTATATAGTTGAAATCATGAGTCAATTGAGGAGTCCCACAATAGGACGAAATGGCCGTCCAGTGCGTGCAGGTTTTCCATGGTGGTCTAGCTTTAATTGACTCATGATTTCAACTATATAAAATATATTGTATTCGTTTGTAATAACTACACGAAAATTGTATTGTTAGTCATGACAATAGTTATTATTTATTTATTTGAACACATAAATATTGGTACAAAGTGGCACCAAACAGATATGCACCACACAAATCTTATTTGATTTGTGTGAGGGTTGTGATACTGCCCAGGTGCCCAAACCAAAGCAGATGGTTTTCTTAGGGGGCCACACCCGAGCCTTTGGCCTAAAGTTCTAACCCACAAAGCAGTGGAGCATCGTAAGGAGATGCAGTCCCCCTGTGGTAGCCGATGACCAACAATTAATTCATACGCCATTCGTTCTCTCAGAATACTGGAGCCCATGTGCACCATTGGTTTGGAATCAGGGTTTTCCAACTCCCCTAGGTGGACTTTCCGTATATATATATATATATATATATATATATATATATATATATAGTTTGCTTACCATTTTAAAATCCTCAAATATTGTATCTTATAAATTTCTTGTTCTCTTTGAATTTAAGCTATTCAAACTTCTTGATAAAGCTAATCGTGAATTAAAACGTTATAGTCATGTGAATAAAAAAGCATTAGATCAATTTGTATCACATTCAGAAGAGAAAGAGAAATTATTAAAACGTAAAGAAGAATTAGATAAAGGTTGTCAAGCAATTAAAGATTTAATGAATGCATTAGATCATCAAAAATATGAAGCTATTCAATTAACATTTAAACAGGTTCGTTAAAGTGTTTTTGTGTATGCGGATGAGGTTGTTCGATTTTTTTTAATCTTTATGAAATTACTTTTACTATTCTATATTAATTTCATTCTGTCATTTTAGCAGAATCAATGTATCATACGTTTTATAATTTATTAAATAATTAATCTAAATAATTTAATCAAATATAGATAGTGGCTAGCAGCGGAATCCAGGACGCACGTTTCGTCCTATTTGGGATTTGTCAGCTGCATGTACACGCATCTCAGTTGATGTTCACTCTGGGACTCCAACCCAGTACCTTTCGCTTCAAACGCCATCACGTTATCCACTCAGCTACCGAGTCATGATAGCCACTTGCTTGTGCAATGGGACCAAGTTTAAATTCATTTAGTATTGTTTGTTTGAATCTTCCCATTGATGTTTAGGGTTGCAACTGGTCAGTCTCTATAATTTAATGTTTAACAAGATGGAGGCTATTATCTATTATCAGGATAAATTACTGGTAATATTGACAACTACAATTCCATTGAGTGATCCATCTATCAGATAGAGATATACTTTCCTATACTTCTCTCGGTTCACAATAAAAAAAATTTTGATGTTAGGGAGTTGGAAATAATCGACTCGGCCGTAAACTATCAGGCTGTGAAACTGGGTGACCTGGGTGACGAAAGCATCATTCTCCTAAAGGTCTCACATATGCCTTACAGATGAGTGTCAACTAGCGTAGGATTTCCTGCCGACTAATTCCAACTGCCTAACTTATTGGTTACAATGTCGATTCATTTAGACTGGTAGCCATATTGGGAATCATTTGATAGGATCCAATCAACATTAAGGACTAGGCAAATATGAAATTAGCCACTACTCAATGATCAATCAATATATGACACGAGTTTTCAAAATTCTTGATTTCTGATTTTCAAGAGCTGATTGTAAAAATAATATATCTGGATCACAATTAGATCACTATATTGTGGTGGTGTAAAACAAGACCATAATGAAGAAGTATTCATAGTTAACGTATATTTTTGTAATGAGGTTAATAAATTTTCCGGCAGTGTTTTTTGTCCAACTGTAAGTTATTAATGTTTCATGCTGTTCTTTATTTCTACACTTAAAGGTATCTAAGAATTTTCAAGATATTTTCAAACGACTTGTACCTGAAGGTCGTGCAGAATTGGTAATGAAAAAAGGTGTCCGCGTAAGTGCTCATTATCGTGTAGTTAAGCTTCGTATTTATCACTAATAACACGTATTAGAACTAATTTCTGAATCGATAACTGTATTCTCACTGATAATATCTAAGTTGACTTTCAGACAGTTTTTCTAATCTTCAGCATCACCTGGGCTATTGTTTAACAAAATTCAAGTTTCCCATCACGGATTGACTTTGTTAGACAATCATTGGAAACCATGAAGCACTAGGCAGTTGTTTTGTTCTAGCCTAGTGTAGACTTTCAAGTCCTGGCTAGTAATCCAATTGTTTACATTCCAAACTATAATTAGCTTGCTAAGATCCTGAGTCCGACGCCTTGTGGAGTCGTGGATGAGATCTATTTAGCAGTACCATACCAGGATGGAACAGCTATCCAGTACTTACTGGTCTAACTGAAGTCATTTCTTGATATGGAATTTAAAATTCAACAGTTCTCATCCTCACCACGTCCTATAATAACAACATACTTGAATCCGAAGTGTTGTACGAACCGGTGAAATATATATATGGATGAACCAAGTACTAACTACATTAATCAATCCATTTTTTAAAGCCACAACAGAGAAAATTACTCAATGAATTTATAATTATTTGCAAGTAGTATAGTTAGATTGCACATAAATATCACATCATGTTAAATAGTCTGTAAGGTAACAGTATATTTTTAATTCTCTTAACTTTACAATGCTAAATGCTTGTTTATTAAAATAATGATCAGTGTTGTTATGTTTTCTCTGTTATGGACTGTTATTCCTTCAGTTTTTTAAAACATTTTTCTGTTATTTCTCCTTAATTAATTAAATAGCAAGAAGGTGAAGGTAGTAGTGATGAAGATGGTGGTGCTGATAGTAGTGTTATTCCCGATGTTGAACGATTTATTGGAGTTGGTATACGTGTTAGTTTTACTGGTGATTCAGCTGATATGCGTGATATGAATCAATTATCCGGTGGACAAAAATCACTAGTTGCTTTAACTTTAATTTTTGCCATTCAAAAGTGTGATCCAGCACCATTTTATTTGTTTGATGAAATTGATGCCGCATTAGATGCACAATATCGTAAAGCTGTTGCTGATATGATTAGAGATTTAAAATCGGAAGCACAATTTATTACTACAACATTTCGACCTGAATTATTAGAATCAGCTGAAAAATTCTATGGTGTAAAATTTCGTAATAAAGTAAGTGAAATAACTGTTTCTATAAATTTAGTGTTCATCTTTTTGTGCAAATGAGGCATGGCAACTTGGATCGATGTATATATGTTCCTGGTCCTACGTTGTAGATGACCGACGGGCTGAATAATATTGTTGCTTTTTTGTCTTTAAAATTATCCAAGTGTGTTAATTTTTATTTGTTTTATAACAATATTGATGACATTACTTACTGCTACCTACCTACGCCTGTTACTTCCAATGGAGCATAGGCAGCCGACCAGCATTCTCCAACCCACTCTGTCCTGGGCCTTTCTAGTTCTATCCAATTTTCGCTCATTCTTCTCATGTCTGTCTCCATTTCTCGGCGTAATGTGTTCTTTGGTCTTCCTCTTCTCCTTTGGCCTTCAGGACTCCATATGAGGGCTTGTTTTGTGACACAGTTGTATGATTTCCTCGATGTGCGCCCTATACACTTCCAGCACTTCTTCCTCCGCTGGAATCTGGTTTGTTCTCTCTCGCAGTAGAATGTTGCTGATAGTGTTTGGCCAATAGACATTGAGTATCCTGCGTAGACAACTTTTAATAAACACCTATATCTTCTGGATAATGGCTTTCGTAGTTCTCCACGTATATTGATGACATACTCAATTTCAATTTTGTATTTAATGAATGTTACAATGTTAATCTGGTTATTCGTTTTGATGGTCATTTTTCAGTCGATAAATAGATGAAATTAGGTTGATTATTTGTTACTGGGAGTTCTAATTTTATTTTTTATCCCAATTATAATTATTTAAATATACTATTAGTCAAGTTATGTTAGTAATTTCATTATGAATTCAACCGTTTATGTTACCCACTAAATACAATCACTCGAGATGGTGGAGAAGATTTGTAACTTCTACCCGAAGTTCGTGCTGATGATGTCGTTCAAAAGAACTTTGAAAGCTCCACCACCAAACCATCCAGCTCAGAGAACAAAACTCTATCACAATCACTCGACTTATGGAGCCCATTTATAATGGGGTTCACTTTATGTCGATCAGACCAATGGCCTTTACTTTAGCCAATAGCTCGGCTGGTCACCAACAACGGCCTGTAATCTTAACGCTTATTGACCCACACAGCTCTCCTATCCCTACTGACATTAAAACACGAAGATAGCATACCGATTTTCCTTATATTATTGGTATTTTTTCTCACATGATTATATAAATTAACTGCACGACCACAACGTACCGCAACCAGGAAATTACAACTTGTGCATAACTAGATTATATGTGGTACAAAATTGAGTAGTATTAGTAGTAAGTGCATAAATAATTTTCCGTAAAACATATATCAACAGTTATTGAGTTAAGATGGTGGTTGGAGGTGGTCAACAGGAAACCCTGGACCCGGTGTTGACCACCTCCAACCACCATCTTACCTCAATATACATAGTGCAAGCAGTGTCGAGCCACCTAGACTGGTGGTCACATTGCAACTCGATCGATAGCATTCGATCAGCACTAAGAAGGACCTGACACGCATGAGATTGATCACCACCCAGTGATCAATCAATTGTGACAGTTATTGAGTGTCATGAAAACTTAAAATAGGAGTATCACAAAGATACCATAAGCCAAATATTTAATAAATACACATTTTAAAAAATGTGTGTAGTTAACCCACTCTAGAATAGTTCCAAGAGTTCCACTTTTCCCAACTATTCACTCATATCTAAAAAAATTGTTATAAATTACGAAAATAGTATATAATAAGAAGACCTCTTCTGTTGAGGTTGGGGAACTACTCAGGCTCATGAGATCTCTTAGTTTGTTTGCCTTATCCAAATCAATGGGTCGTATTGGGTTCATGACAATTCGCAATACTTATAAACTGATTATATCAGTTAACTATATTTTTTAAATTTTAATAACTATGAGCACTTAGAACAAGAAAAGTTGTCATCAAAATTTTTCATTTTTTTAAAAATAAATATATGCAAATGTGATATCCTTTTTGACAGTAAAGTTTTAATGTCAACTGTACTACCTTGGTGAGCCATTTATAGGAAGTACATGGTGAATGTATTTTTTGTGATATGATTGTCTAATTTTGTTTTCGTTTATCTCAGCTTAAAACAACGGACAGAACTGTGCACAGTTTCTAACTATTATTTTGTGTTCGACGTACCCATTTTGATTTTGTCACTTCGTTTATTTGAAGATGATTTACATCACAGAGTGATCCTAAATGAAAAGATATTGAGAACGAAGGAGCGCCAGATAAATGTTTTAATCTTAGATGTCAATACTCAGTGGTTTACACTATCAACCCCTCCCGAGATTGAACCTAGAACGCACTGGTATCTCACTAAACCCACTGCTTCTAGAACATTGAGTTGGTCACATCCAATTGTCCACATTTCTAACTTCACTTGGTTTGTATGTCTTAATCCGACCATCATTCATTGTCATTGATCATTACAGGTCTTACTCTTAAGATAGATGAATTTCACCTACTATTGTTACTCACATTAGGACGTCAGAAAATCCATCCTATGGTTGTTTTGGTAGACAGATTATTAAAATCTTGATATACGAATCTGAGTTACCGTGACATTGTTGATAATGTTAATCAATACATTTATTCCATAAAATAACTTGTTTTGTTATTCATTTTTAGGTTAGTCATATTGAATGCGTAACTAAAGGTGAAGCACTTGATTTTGTTGAAGATGATCAAACACATGGATAATTTTTATATGATCATCTTTATGTTTCGTGTATACACTACCTGTTTCATTCTCTGTCCTCTTTAATCATATGGAAAGGATATTTATCTACTTGTCTTGTATATATCGTCGTCATCATCAAAAACAAATAAGTAAAACACCTTAATACTCATAATAATGAACAAACTGACAATTACGATGTTGTCATTATTGTTTGTTTGTCATCTAATAGTAGTTATAAATCAATTTGGCATTTAACGGAACTTCTCCGTAACAAAACAACAACAACCGACTACAGTTGAATGTACATTACCCATTTGATTGTTTTTTGTAATATTTCCACGTAATAAATACACAAAACATCCTATAAACTGATTAATTATTCCCATCTCTTTAATGTCTGCCCTATTCAATATTCATCTTTATCTGTACTCTACACTTTGTATTTACTTTTTGTTAAAGATTGTTCTGATATTTGTTGGTTTGTTTTTTACTCATATAAAATATTTTGTATACCCTATATATAATAATATTTTGATAATAAAATGATGGTTATTGTTTTGACTAGTTTCTAGTTAGTTTTAGTTAGTGAATTGTTCAAAGACTTGATTGACCACTACTTTCACTTTGGTACTTACTTACTTACTTACGCCTGTTACCCCTCGTCAAGGAGCATAGGCAGCTCGCCAGCATTATCCATCCAACTCTGTCCTGAGCCTTCCTTTCCAGTTCTTTCCACTTAACATTCATCCTTTTCATATCTGCTTCTATTTCCCGGCGTAGTGTGTTCTTTGGCCTTCCACTTTTCATCTTCCCTTCCGGATTCCAAGTTAGGGATCGCCTTGTAATGCACATTGGTGATTTCCTTAATGTATGTCCGATCCACTTCCAATGTCTTTTTCCAATATCCTCTTCAGTTGGAATCTGGTTTGTCCTCTCCCATAAAACGCTGTTGCTGATAGTACCGACCAGTGAATGTTGAGTATTTTGCGTAGACAACTGTTTATAAATACTTGCACCTTCTTGACAATGGATGTAGTAGTTTTCCACGCTTCAGCTCCGTACAGTAGAACTGTCTTGACATTCGTATTGAATATTCACACTTTGAAGTTAGTTGACAGTTGTTTTGAGTTCCGTATGTTCTTCAATTGTAGAAATGTTGTCCTTGCCTTGCCAATCCTCGCCTTTACATCCGCATCTGATCCTCCTTGTTTATCAACGATGCTTCCTTTCACTTTGATAGATTAATAATATTAGTAGTCATCATCAAATAAATGTAACCTAAAATCGTATGCAGAAATCTTTACTTGTTTACGAAATTGAGATGACGAAAAGCGAATGTCCGGCGCTTTAACCGGCTTGGTGGACACGGAAATTCCACCTAGCTGAGTTGGAAAACCCTGATTCCAAACCAATGGTGCACATGAGCTCTAGTAAAAGTTTCATTAACCGGTGACCATGTGCTAAATACAATAGGCTTAAGAACACCTTTTCCACAATTAAATCATTATAATTGTGTTAAACCACACAAACCCGTAATCATGTGGATACATACTATTGAATTCAAATACTAAAGTTAGGTTCAATGGTATGTATTGAATCTTACTGCTCATGAGAAAAAGGCGGAATATTTGAGTTCGTCCCGATTATCATAAAATTTAAGTAATTCACTATGTAGATTAGTTGCTTTATTTCTGTTAACATTTTGACAGTTGAGCCTAGTATTTAAAACAAAAACAACTAATCTTTTAAGGGGATTAAATTTCCAGCAATATTATATACTCAAATCGTTAAAAGAAAGCTAACATGTTGTCGGAACTTGACTATTTTAAATGCTCTTGTTGGCTGCATTAAGGAATTAGTGGGAAAATCGATATTTAACACTGAACAATGGTATCATTGAAGTATGAGCTATTCAAGCAAATATACAAACGAGAGCGAAGTTGTTTTCAATTAGGTCATTATCCGGCTCTAGTTTATTTTATAATTATGCCTAAACATATACTAGGACGAAACATGTAGCTGATTTTCAATGGCTGTCAAACCAAAGTCTAACCATGATTTAAAACTTCAAATGAATTACAATCAAGTAACTATGAACAGCATTCAAAATATTACTTGGAATTAATTTTGACGATAATGTAGCTTTGGGGGGGGACAGATGGTGTCAATCAAATATGACGCGAAACGATGTCTTTCGTAGAATAAGAAACAACAACTTAGTTTTCGTTGTCCATAAAATTATTATTATTATCTGATTGCTGTTTTCTATTCATGCCTCCAAACGCCCTGGGGTATGGCCGAGAGTGAGGAGACCCCGCCCTCTCGAAACGCTCTCACACGGCTACGCGTATACAGCTCTGTCAGGGAAGTCTTACTCACTGCCTTCTCGTGGCGGGAGTGTTGTTTACGAAATTGAGAAGACGAAAAGCGAATGTCCGGCGCTTTAACCGGCTTGGTGGACACGGAAAGTCCACTTAGGGGAGTTGGAAAACCCTGATTCCAAACCAATGGTGCACATGGGCTCCAGTATTTTGAGGGAACAGATGACGTATGAACCAATCGTTGGTCACCGGCTACCATGGGAATGCATCTTCTTGCGTTGCCTCACTGCCTTGTGGATCGGATCTTTATGTCAAAGGTCTCGAGTGGGGCCCCCTAAGAAAACCGCCTGCTTCGGTTTGGGCACCTGGGCAGTATCACAACCCTCACACAAATCAAATGAGATTTGTGAGGCGCATATATATATATCTGGTGCCCCTTTGTACTAATATTTATGTGTTTAAATAAATAATAAAATAAAAAATTTCTATTCTTATCGATCACAGGAAAATGAAATGATAATTATCATGAAGAGAAACATAAAAAAAATATTAGACAAACTGATCTCAATCATGCATATATTGTAGTAGTAGTAGTAGCAGTATATTAAAAAAAATAGGAAGCTGATAATATATATATAGATGGAAAAGAAAACAGCACAGATACATTCATAACGTATATGAAGAACTAGAAATAAGCCATAAGTAGATATACAATTATCATCTAAACATATATATATATCTAAACCCAATTTAGTAACTTAGAGCACATTGCAAAATAGTCACAGTTCAAGAGGGGCATAAACAAATTAAGAAAAAAGAAAGGTAGAAAATCATACTCATTGATTGTTTGTTCACTTACAATAAGGTAACTTAAACAAATAGATAAACAAAAGTATCTTCTTTTAAGTGATTTAAGTAGTTTATTATAAGTAGTAAGTAAGTAAGTAAGTAGATACATAAAGATGTAAAACAAACATCTTTATCTGTGTATATACTATATACAATTAATCTGTTAGATAAATTTAAAATAATATAAATGATGAATAGGTCATCTTGAATTGTTCCAATTGAGATCTTTCATTATTATTATTATTATTAATACTATTGGACCTGAATAATTCACGACGTATATGATTCAATTGAAGAAGTGTATAACATTGTTTACGTTGTAATTTTATAGTGAATTTTGGATTTTTCAACAACCCAATATCTGGTAAATAAACATGTTGAAGTAATTCATATAGATCATTATCTTTATAAGTAATCGATTGATCCATAAATGGAATTGTCATATTGGAAGATGAGATCATATTATTATTATTATTATTATTATTATTATTATTATTACTATCATTACTATTACTACTATTATTAATATTACTATATTCTGAGTATAATATACACTTCATAATGTTTGTTTGAGTATACTCTTTCAATAATTGTTTTAATCTTTCATAAATATGATTATTAGTAATAAGATAATCAAAAGTGATTAGTTGATTATTTTCATTATTGTTATATTGTTCATTATAAAGATCATTAATATTTCCAATATTAGAATCTTTCAATTTAATTCCATATAATAATTGTTCTAATGTAATAGATTGTAGATTTATTTGTTTTTCATTTGTTTCATGTATATAGACTTGAGGTACCATAGTTGCGACTATTATTGATTCACTTTCACTATCTTCAACATTTGGAAATCGATTTAATTCTAATGAAATTTTAGATTTCTACAAACAAAAAACAAAAAAACAAAACAAGACGAAATAGAACAGATCAGCTTTATAGTTGATAACAGTGTTTGACATTACTTGTAAGTACACTGAAAAAGAGAAACTTTATCAGATATAGATTAGAATAGAAGCCAATGGTGAGCTTGATGTAACTTTCTTTTACTTTCTTTATAAAGAGTGGTTATAACTTTCTTAATTGAAAGAGTTCTTATGGTTGTACATTTCAGTTCCCTCCCCATCATCATTATTCTTCTCTTTTTTACCCTTTCTTTTATATACACGCATATTCCCCCTTTCTCCTCCTATTCTCATTATTTTGTGTGGCGTATATGTATCCGGTACCCTTTGTACCAATATGTATGTGATTAAATAAATAAATAATAAATAATCACTTATTAATTTCTAAATAACAGTCAGCAATTATTTTAAACTCATTCGCTAGTCTTGACCGAAATACTTTAATAGCTTATCCTTGTTGCCAAGTTTAATAGGCAGATATTTCATCTTACTTAACTAATGGAGTACGGTAACTTGAACCGATGTACACACGTACCAAGTTCTACGTTGCATCTCACTGATTGACATTGTGGTAATAAAAAATGACAGTTTATCTTTGACATGTTCATGAATCAGATTTCAGCAAGAAAAGATAATTCCAAGCTCACTCTAACAGGTCTGTAGCAGTGAATAAATAGTTCAGTAAGGACTCAACATCGGTGTTGATCCAGTTAGTTCAACTGGACACTACTAGCTGAAGGTAATAGATCAAACTTCACAACCAGATCACAGCATGATATGACATGAAACTACTTTTCTAGTTTAGATAGTCAGTTTTAAAGTTTCACCTCCCCTACCTCAGATCGAAGTTAATTGCTAGTTACCACTTATGAATAAAAAAGTTATTAGAAAAGCTCTATTGAAACACCACTGAGTATGGCATTGGATAACTTTTAGATCCAC